AATTACTCTTAGATGAACCTCCTCGCAACAAACGATGACCTATCTAGACACTGAAAACATGTTGAGAGCATGTGTCATCGAATTCAGAAAGTCATGGGACACTCATTTACCCCGATTGAGTTCTCGTATAACAACAGCTACCATGCCAGTATCAAGGCTGCCCCATTCAAAGCCCTCTACGGTCGCAAGTGTAGATCCCTTCTGTGCTGGGCTGAAGTAAGGGACACGCAACTAGCCAAGGGTCAAGTCCCCGATAGTACTCTCACTGGTCCTGAAATCATCCGCGAAACCACCGAAAAGATCATTTAAATCCGAGAACGATTGAAAGCCTCTAGAGACAGACAGAAGAGCTATACTGATAAATGACGAAAACCTTTTGAATTCCAGGTAGGAGATCGTGTCCTGTTGAAGGTCTCGCCCTGGAAAGGCATGATACGCTTTGGAAAGCACGGAAAACTGAATCTAAGGTACATAGAACCTTTCGAGATCCTTACTAGGATCGGTCCCGTAGCCTACAAACTCCAACTACCTCAAGAACTTGGCAACATCCACCCTGTTTTCCATATCTCTAATCTTAAGAAGCGTCTACCCGAATTCACTTGGGAGCGCGAAGAATCGATGAAGCAGAAATATCCGCATCTCTTTCCAAATCCATGATTTGTATCTTAATTCTAAATTTTGGGACGAAATTCCCTCTAACGGGGGGATGATGTGACAACCTGAAATTTACCCCGTCACCGTAACCCCTTTTTCCGTTAATCAAACTCGTTTCTATTAAATTTTTCCGTTAACATTTTGGATTAGGTTAATTAAATTGAGAGTTATATTATGACTTCATAAGTGTCGTAATGAATTAGAAACACATGAAACACACTCAATATCCCTTTGAAAAGTTTTTAGTTATGACCAAGTCGGGTTATGAACATTTAATCGGGTACGACCATAAACTCCGTTTAACGTTTGGATCGGGTAGATTCCCACTGAGTCGCAAACTCAAACCCTATATAAGGGTGAGTGGATCTTCAATTAATCTTTTCCCCCACTCTTAACACACTATGTCTCTCTACTCTCTCTCTCTCTCTCTCTACAAATCGTTTTGATCCAAAAATGCCCCTTTCAAGTTCGAAAATCGTAAGTAATCCTTCCTAGCTTATTGTTTAGCTTTGTATTCATGCATCTTCGTGTTTAAATCATTCAAAAGCCTCAAAATCATGTGTTTACGTCCAAGGAACACCCCTCAAACCGTAAACACCCATAAGTGGGTTTTGAAGCCCCAAAACCCCTCCAAAACCCCTGTAATGCTTATATATGACTTAGAAACTAGCATGCATGAGATTAGAACCCCAAAATCATGTCTTAATGGGAGTAAACATACGTTTACTGCCTATGAATGAGAGTTTACGGCCAAAGAATGTTCTTGGGCCGTAAACTCCCTTAAAGGGTGCAACATTGCCCTTTCTTGCTTCCTTATGCATGAAACTTAACATAGAATCAACCACCATCGAAGTAGGGACCCTAAATGTCAAATAAACTAAGACCTTATAGAGATTATAGTCGTGAACCCCCCAAGGGAATTGTCCTTTGGCTGTAAACTCCCTTAAGGAGGTCAAATGGTGCCCTAACTTCCCCCTTATGGCATGGATTAATGCATAGAACCTAGTATCCTTTCATTTGAGACTCTAAATCATGAAAAAATGGGCCAAGCATGAGTTTACAATCGTAAACCCATGTGTTTACTGTAGTAAACTCACCAAGTGTCCTTCAAGAATCGCAAACTCCATTTCCAACGTCATTTTAATTCCTGATCACTTCCTAAGCCCTTGAATCAACCCTAAAACCTTCCCTTGTGCAACATATGACCATTGAACACCCAAAAACAACCCACCCATGAGTTTACGGCCGTAAACTCATGGGGATATGGTCTTTGGGCCCTAATCTCCCCCTAAGGGTTTACTCTTGAAGAGTAAACTCCCTAACTAGGCCATACACTCCTTGGATGCAACCCGTATCATTCCTAACACTTGAGATAAGGTCTTTTCGTGCATCGGAGTGTATCATCTTACTTAATTAGTGGTTAAATGTATAATTAGATACAATTATCTATCTCTTCATGTTACATAGGATCCTCGCGCGTGTTCAAGCCCTAAATTGACACTTAACATCCTACCCGACACATTCTCGTCCGGTGAGTGCATACCCCTACACCTTTTTCCGTGGTTTTCATGTTTTCAGGGGGGGGGGAATACAAGCAAAAGTACAAGGAAATCTTGTACTCAAACTTATTATTTAGTATGAACTGTTACATGTTCAGTATGCTTTTAACACAGAAAACCGTATTACCGACCGTTTAACTTATATAGTTAGCTTTTAAACTAATTACGAAACTCATTATAAAATTGTTATATTTCACAAAGGATTTCATGCCACTCATAAAACAAGATTTTTCCATATCATTACTTGTAAATTCATTATTCTTAAGATTGGAGACACGTCCTCAGCAACACTCTACGAAGATACATGAGTGGAGGACCGCCCCTGTAACCAGAATCTCCTTGAGGGAGAACGTGACTTGAGTGTATAGATCTATACGGGACTGACTACCCCGCACCTGGCTGCTAGCTAGAGTGGGACCGACAGGTCCATGGGTGACAAAACTCATAAAATGATATTGGCCCCGTTACGAGCCATATCTACTTTATTGTATGGTTATGGAACTCGCAACTTAGATAATGAATACTTACTTTAGTAATTATAAACCTAGTGAATTAACCTCAAAATAATAATTGTTTTGATTACCAGAGGGTAACAGTAATACCCTTAGGAGTTAGTTTACTACTTATTTATCAGTTTTATATACGTGTTAAAACTAACGTACTTTTCAAGGATAACCAGGTTTTCAGGGAAACTTCACTTAACAATACAAGTATGGTAGATACTTGCATACTTCATTCCGGATCGATAACCAACCACCAACTTTTAAGGAAAATAAGGGTTTTTCTTGGGATAACTTTACTTTTCATGAACAGGCTGTTTAACAAATGAATAACCAAACTACTTTTATAAGAAAATATGGGATTTTTTTGGGAAACAACTTTTCATAAAACCAAAGGAAATGTCCTCCACCCTGGAACTTTTCCAGCATCGTTTTCGGGGTATGACAGATGTCTAACAAGTGATGAAGTGAGGTCCAACTAATCAGTGATGAAATTTAAATTCTACAACATTGATGACCTTGATTAAATTCAAATGATGATATCTATTGTCTTTCGATTAACCAGGTAGCATTTATGCAATTATTGCAAGACTTCCATAATGTGCCTCCAAATTGTAGATGAACGTTATTGTAGTCATTCAAGTGTTTATCCCAAAGTTATATTGTATTGGTAAAATGACTAAATGAATAATGATCATTTTCACTAGTGTTGTTGCTTGATTAATATTTTCTAACTATAAAAAGGTGGAATAAAAGACGTAAATACCGTTGTTATCCATAATGTTTTGTCCCAAAATTCATATCTTTTGACCAAGACTCATTTCAATAGGACAAAACTAGCAATTTTTGTCCCACGCAGAAAGGTGGGACAAAAGTCATAAATGCCCTTTTGATTATTCACAACATGAAAGTAGTGTTTGTAGTAACTAGACTATAAATTTTTGCTGTCATTAACTAAAAGTAGACATTTACAGGTTTAATCATTAACTAAAAGTAGTGTTTGTAGTAACTAAACTATAAATTTTTTCTATCATTAACTAAAAGTAGTGTTTGTAGTAACTAAACTATAAATCTATGCTTACTACAACCACCTGTAAATGTTTTCGAAGGAATGGAGTCCGTCAAAGGAATGGAATCGGTCAAAGGAATTGAAATTTGAAGGAATTGAAAAACCATAGATATGGCACTAAATGCATCATTTTCCTCCCTTTGTCACATAGAAATTGTAATAAGTTACCCTTTTTATTTTGTCTTGATTGAATAGGAGTCTAGATGTTTGATACATATTAAAAGAAATAGGAGTCTAGATACTATTATATTAGCAAAATCGGGCTTGTTTTCATGCATATTTTGACTCAAGCAAAAACCAAGCAACAATTTGGCCTATACAAGGCTCCAACTAACTAAGCTAACATGCCAATCGGTTTTATGTTTTTTTCTAAACATTATATATAATTAAGTATAAATATTGTTTTTGATTTTCTCAAACTGTTTATGTAGGAGAAATTGTGATAACTTTATATATAATATAGGGTAATTCTATATACACGAACAAAAATCTAAATGCACGATGATTTGATGGATTATTGATTATTGAGTTAAATTTTATTTAAAACAATAAACAAACAGTTTATATAATATGTATTTTCAATTATCGCCCTTCTGTTTAATTATGTATTTCAAAATTCACCTTTTACTAGTTTAAAATCTAATGCACATCCATTATTTAAATATCATTAATATAATATTCTAAAGGGGGAATGATTTTTTTCTATTATGTTAATTGAGTTTGTGAACATTAATTTTAAACACTACGTAGAGTTTTAAAACACCAATCTTAATTTTTTAAAACACTAATTAATTTTAAACACTAACTAAATTTTTAAACACTAATTTTTAAATGTTGGTTAAGTTTAAAAATGAATAAAACTAACACTATTATAGGTTAAAAATAATGTATATATTTTTCTAAATATTACCAAACACGTATTAGCATATTTCTAATAAACTAGGATAATATAGTGAATTTTTAAAAGTCGATAAAGTATAGGGTGGAATATAAACATTATGTATTAATAAAGGGATTAATGATAATTTATATAATAACATTTTTACATAGAACGATTGTGACAGATTGTCATGTTTTCAAACTTGAAGGCACAAATACTAAAACAATTACACGACTCTTTTGTGCAAATAGGAGGACCCATAATATAAAAAAAAATTGACCAGTCTTATTAAGGGAAAATGGGTCAAATAAGTATTCTTCCCCAAATCATAGGTATTCATGTCGCAGATCGTATTCCTCATTCCTCATATCACTTACGCCATTATCGATCGGAGCACCTCTCACTCTCATTTGCTTTGTTGTTTGTCGCCTGCTCCATCAACCGGTAGATTTTTCTCGGTCGGCTTCATCCCTACCAGGTAACATTATTCTCTCTTCTTTTTTCTCCATTTTCTCTTTCTATCATCCAATGACTTGAAAGATATTGATCTCTCTGTTGAATCTTTCTTCGCACATCATCGTTATCTGGTCGTCGCCCTCGACTGCTACTTCTTCCGGTCATCTTTCTCATTGACCCTGTGCGGGTACTATCCTTGATCCTCCCTAAATCCCTTCCTTGGTTCCTTCTTCTCCACTCTTCTGTGAACTTAGCCAATCATGATTTTGTTTCAGAACTTCTAAATCTTCCAATGAATTTTGTTTTACAACTAAAATTATTGTTCATTACGCATTACAGAACATCCCTGCACCACACTCTCATACACATTTAACACAAATACACCTCTACTGCTCTTTTAAAAGGATTTTTTCAACCAAATGGTTAAATGTCATATGGCTTTATGTAGAAAATAAGCATACATTGTATGATGAGTTTATTGATCAAAACTAGAGACGAAAACTACATTCTGTTGTGGTCTACTGATGATAGAATTATGATAACTTAGTGATGAAAACTATAAATGGCTTTATTTCCATTTTTGTTTCAAAACCAAGTATGCTGATTATTTAACAACGACTTTTCTGTTTCTGTTTGAATTTTATGTTTTTGGTGCTAATTTGGTTTCATTTGGAGTTTGTGCTAAAGTTATTGTAATATTGTGATGGAAATATTTACCATTATTTATGCTCTAGTAAAAACCTATAGTTAATTTATATCATTATATGTATGTGTGCCTTACCCCAATGTATGATTTATATAAAATATGAATATCTTCATTATGATCAGTCCTATATATTGTTTGTGTATAAACACTCATGTTTAAAATGACTTGAGTAATGGCCTCATTTCTCTTATATAGACTAATACATTTAGAAATTGATCATGTTCTTCATTCTATATAGAGATAATCTTAAGATCTTTTGGAGTTTTGGTTTTATTTACTGGTAATTGTTTTTTTATAGTTGATTGATCATGCTCTTTATTAAAGTGTCTTCCTCATGTCTGAAAGGTGTTACATATTCTAACAAAACTAACAACTATGAACTTTTTGAAACTCTTATATGTTTGTCTTGTTTTCATTCTATCTCTCTCAATCTCTTTCAAATATCTCCCTCTATCTCTATCTCTCTCCCTATCTATGTTGCCCTCTCTAATTCTCTCTCCATGATCCCCCAATATATTTGTAGATTGCTGTGTATTCCTAGCTAATAAAGTAGACAACCCCCAGTATACTTAGATCTAATTCTCACACCAATGTTTAGCTAGAAACAAAACTACACATCTTAATAATTCAGATTTAATTAAGATGTTATTGTTTTAGGTTTTGTTTGATTGGTTGGATTCAATAGAACAAAAACAATTTTCTTTTAATAAATTATATGCTTTTCACTGTTTTATGTATTATTTAATTTTTTCAATGAATCTTCTATATAAAAAGATAAAAATAAGTTTACAATAAATTATATGCTTCACAACTTGTTCTAGTTATTTCATTTAACCCCTTTTTCCATTCCTAACATTCCTTTGAACTATGTTATAATGTGCTAAGTTCGTGAAGGGTAAAACGACCATTTATCATATTCAAATAGTCTTTACGTATGCAATATTTTTTTTGAAAGAGACTATGTATGCAATATTAATTAAAGGCATGAACTGTTTCAACTTTTTCTTTGTTCCAGGTTCCAATCCACTCCACTCCATTCTAATCCAATCCAATCAAATCCAGGTGATAACAAAACCATCATGTTTAAGCTTTGTGCTTTATCTTTTATACTTACTATGACATTGTAAGTTGTTATTTTTTTAACTTTTAAATGCAAAAAATAGCAATCTACTTTCATTAAAGTATTTGCATTATACTTTTAGTTTTTGTATTTTTCAAAGTAAAATGTAGGATGCTAAAATAAATAAGCAAACAAAAGTGCATTGGTATATTAAAGTAAAAAGTAGTATACTTAGATTTTTAGTAAGATATTTCTATAATATTTGTGATCTAACAGATTTAAAATTTCAGAAAAGATGTCCCAATTGTGGTAATATATCTGCCCCATTATCTACACTAGCATTGTTGTCATCATCATCTCGTACCACATTATCATCTGCTAGTATTGTATATGCCCCTAACATTTTTTTCACATGTTGGTACTATGGGTGCCACATCATCAACAAATGCATCATCCAACCAGTCATCCTTACCTACATCATCTACCCAATCATCTATACCTACATCTATCCAATCATCTACACTTGCATCTACTACATCATCTATACCTAGATCCAGAGCAAATTGTAGTGAATCGGTTGAGGAAAATATTGACGCTCAACATCAAGGGTATTTACTTGGATCTACAGGACTGATGGGTGTCTATATATTGGAGTGCGAGATAAGGAGTAAGTTAAAATTCTTACATTTTTATCAACATTGAGTTTCATGATTTTTACAATGCTATTAATTTTTTCTTTTTTAGGTTACTTCCTTCGGGCCCATGTTCTTCCATTATCTACAAATCCTTTGGTGAAAGAGCTAATTTAAACGAGTATAGCTGGGCAACTTTAAGCGACGAGACAAAACTCCTTTATTAGGACGAGTTTCATGTAAGTATTTCGTTTATGTAATTATTAGGTACTCATTAACTAAAAACCTCATCTATATATTTTGTATTGTAGAAAAAGTGCTATTGGGATGATGAAAAAAACTCCGTTAGTCCAAGATTGTTGGGAAAATAAGGTAAAGGAAAGATATAGACAATATATCTACAATATAAGCTCAAAATGGAAAAAGTCGACTCTAAAAAAAACCTGTTAATATAAGTTCAGAAATGTGGACATCTTGGACTGCAAGATGGAATACTGAAGAGTTTAAGAAGAAATCTATAGCACCTGGTTCTTGGTACATATTCTTTTCTTACTATTTTTGCATTTTGTCCTTGGACTTGGCGAGTTGAAGGACCAACTCACCGAGTAGAAGCGGGATCAGATGTTGGGTTTAAGCTGTGGACTCGACGAGTCGGTTCCCGAACTCAGCGAGTAGGCCCTGTCTGGAAAAAAACCCTAACCCGAGGGTTTGCACCATATTTAAACACCTTAACTCGGCCTCCTTCGTCCCATTTGCTCCCAGAAGACCCCCATAGCAAACCCTAGCCGTTGTTGAAGCCACCTAAGGCATTTGGAGTGATTTTGGTGCTTTTGTGATCCAAGGAAGGAAGGAAAAGCTTGAAGGATCAAGAGGAGGCTAGAAGGATCCAATTTTGAGCATCATTTGCAGTCTTCAGAAGGCATAAAGTCTATACCTTGTTTTTTCTTTTGATAGATCCCATTTTGTGGAGTTTTAGGGCTTTTCTAAGACATTTTGGTCACCAACCATGATTGCAAGCATGGTTAGGGGTTGATGTTTCAGATCTAGGCCCTTAGAGGTGTTACAAGGCAGAAAGGAGTGGCTCTTACACTCAAAGAAGGCCCCATGCATTGTAAGAGAGTGTTTTAGGACCTTTTGATCTCAAAGTCCTATGCAAGCACGTAAAGGTTGTAACTTTACGTGCTAGATCACTTGTTGAAGCATAAATCTATCCTTTGATCAAGGGTTGTACATCAGAAATCAAAGATTTAGTAAGAGGATGTGACCAACTCGACGAGTCCATTCTTGGACTCGACGAGTCCAATGTTTCTGTCCCATATCAGTTGAGGGTCATAAGGACCAGTCGAGTGTGGAAAGGTTTTAGGGGGTCCCGGGGAGTGAGCCAATGTTCTGGACTAAACCATTGTTCTAGAAGTTCATGGGACTCGGTGAGTACATGAGCAGACTCGGCGAGTCCAAGGAAAACTTCTTAAGGATGAATATGAACTCGATGAGTTATTCATACAACTCAGCAAGTCAAGGACATGACCGGTAAATCAGTTGAAGATGAACTCGACAAGTTGTTCATACAACTCGGCGAATCGGATGAGGAATCAGTCGATGTTCATTTAGAAGGAAAACTCATCGAGTCATCGCCTAACTCGACGAGTAGAGACGAGTATAAGGACAAATGGAAGGATAGGGGCTCAGCGAGTTGGTGAGCTAACTCAGAGAGTCAGGTCAACTGGAAGTTGACTTTGACTTTGATTTGGTTAGGGGTAAAATGGTCATTTTACTCTAGGAACAGTTAGTAGTGTATGACTAAGTATTTTGCGGGAATTATGGCCAGAGGATTTTCGGAGCAGCATCGGCAACAATCAGAGGATTCCCGCACATATCAGCAGCTACTACGAGGTGAGTTACCTTCCGGTAGCGGTTGGTCTACGGCCACAATGTCGGCCCACCAGTAGGAGTTGTATGATTAGATGACTGTCTATGTGATATCGTGTAGGTTTGCTACTACCTGATATGTTATATGCTGGCATGATATGTTATATGTGACACTAGTAGAGTTCGTTTGTTAGGACTGATGGGTAGGTCAACACCCCAGAATGGCTTGACATGGGTAGGACGGCACCCCAGAATGGCCGCATGGGTAGGACGGCACCCCATAATGGCCGCATGGGTAGGTCGACATCCCAGAATAGCCGTACCAGGTAGGTCTGGCACCCCCAGAATTGTTCGATAGTATGTAAGCTATGTGATTGTATGGAATGTGGTATGATGGGGGAACTCACTAAGCTTTGTGCTTACAATTTACAGTTTTGGTTTTAGGTACCTCTTCAGCGAAGGGGAAGAAGTTGGCGCGGTAGCGGCACTCTTTGTTTTCCTCAATATGAGTTATTGTGGGATTTGTACTCTAACATTATTATGTTTTTAAGATTCAGTTTTCAGATACATGACATGTTTTTATTAAATGATATAATCGATTGATATTTTGATACAAATGTTGTATAAATCACTTAATCAAAAAATAAAATTTTTGGTCGTGAAAATTGGGTCGTTACAAAATCAGAACAAAACAAAAAAAAATTAAGCGTAGAGGTGTAGCTGATGGACAAGTCCTGTCTACGCATACCAATGGATCAACTTCTCATTCCAAGATTCCTTCTGATTTAGTAAGTACTCATTTAATTTTATATTATAACAATATACTTTCATTTAGAAATACCATTATCTAGTTCTATTTTGATTTTTATAAGGACTAAGTCTAAATACATAAAATAGCAATCTACTTTCCTTTAGTTTTATATTATAGCATGCTAGTTCCATTTTGATTTTTAAAAGGACCAAGCATAAATACATAAAATAGAAACGTACTTTCACTTAGTTGTATGTTATAGTTTTTTTAGTTCCATTTTGATTTTTAAGAGGACTAATCCTAAAAAGTATGTTATTTTATTTTCCGTTTGTAAAGAATGGAGCCTAAATGCAAAAAATAGCAATCTACTTTCATTTACTGTTGTATCATAACAATCTATTTCCATTTTGATTTTTAAAAGGGTTTAGCCTAAAAGTAAGTTGCTATTTTTTCATTTTTAATTATCTAAGCCTAACTGTAAAAATAGCAATCTACTTTAATATTGATTTTTTTTTTTGTATATATGTAGAAGAAGCTTCGGGGACATGATCCGGCACACCATGAACTATTCTTGTATACACACACTAAGAATCTAGATGGAATGACTTTTAGTTGACAAAGCTAATAAAATTCATGTAAGTTTTATTTTGAATAATTTCATGTAAGTTTGATTTTGATTTTTTTTTGTTTAAGTTTTAACTCAACACAATTATAAAATTATAGGATGATTTTATGGAACGATGTGATCGGTTGGAAGCGATAGGAGAGGAAATTGATGAGGAAAAACTATTTTATGATGTTGTCAGGGGACATGATCGAAAAAAGAGATAATATAGATTGGGTTCATATGGAAAGTGCATTCGTTCTAGGAAAAGATCTTCTGAAACGCATCGCGGACAATATGAAGTTAGTTTTGTCATATTGTTAGTTGAGACGCAACGCGAACAATATGTGGATATTCAATAAAAATATGAGGATGTTCAGCAAAAATATGAGGATCCTCAAAAAAAGAATGTGGAGTTTCAGCAGAAAAATGTGGATGTTCAAGCAAAGTTTGAACAACAACTTGCACAAGCAATGAATGTCATTAACACATTGAGTGAATAGGTCAAAACTTTTATTAATCAATGATAGAATATATTGTATCGAATAATATTTTACGTTAAATTTGTAGCGACTTTTGATTTTGAAATAATTATCTTTTGATGTATTGGATATTTCTTTTAGTTTCTATAGAAATATTTTGTTATTTTTGGTTTTATATTAATTGTATTTTTGTAAATTGATATAATAAGTCAAATTAAATAACCGAAATTTATAGAGAAAGTGGTATGGAATGATTGTTATGGAATGGACTACAAAAGTTGTTATGAAATTTGGTACGGAACGAATGGTTACGAAATTTGCGACAGAATAATTAGCTACGGAATTTGCTATGGACCAAATGGCTACGGAATTTGTTACGGAACAAAATAGATACGAAATTTGTTACAGAACGAATGACTACGGAATCTGCTATGGAACAATTAGTTACGGAATTTGCTGGGACCAAATGGCTATGGAATAGCTATGAATAGATGTCATAGCAATGACTGTAGCAAAATTGCTATGGAACTATAATTTCGTAGTTAAACATTTTGCTACAAGAAATCTTACTATGGAATCTCATTGGAAAATTCCGTAGCAACTTCCGTAGTTATTTAGGTTTAGCTACGGAATTATATCATTTTGCTATGGAATTTTTCCGTAGTTAAATCAGAATTTTCTTGTAGTGGATGACGACCACGGACTATTCTAGGCAGTCCAGTGGACCGCTAGCAGGCTCGTAACGCGTAGATGTTTTTGAACTAGTTGCTCATTAGATATTTTGAACTAAGTGTGTTCACCAGATGTTTTGGACTACATGTTCACCAATTGTAATCTATAAACCTTGGTAATGATGGACTGCATGTCAATTACTTTGGATGATCCTTAGGAATAAATGAATGAGGAATAGTTGATTCTTAGGAGTGAAGAAGATAATGGGGATGGGTAATTGCGTTGATTAATTGTTTGAAGATTAAACATAATAATTATATTATTGTGGGTTGAAAATCCTATGTAGTCACCAGGTTTCCCAAACTGACCCACTCAGTTTATTTATATGCCTAGTGTTGATATGAAGTCAAATTAGACTGAAAGATCAAGAAGATATAAATCACTAGTGATAATGAATGTGAGTTCTATTTATGCTTATGTTTCTATGTTGATGATGACATCCCAAATGTTTTAAAATGAATAAAAATACTTTTCTTCGGAAATGATTTGATAACGTATTTATCATGTTTTACTATGAACAAATTCCGCAACATTTTTATTAAAATAGGTACTCTGATTTTTATAAAGCATAAAAAAACCGGTCTTTTCTGGCCATGAAAATGGGGATGTCACAGTTGGTATCAGAGCATTAGTTTTAGTGAACTAGGAATAAGGATTTATTTATAGATTTAAACGTAGAATGCTAAGCGATGATCATGAGGAGTGTGTCTAATATATTTTAGGAAGCATACCTGAATAAACATGAGCACTAGCTCATTTAGGGAAGATGCCTAAATTGTTTTTTGTGCTAAATGATTTGCGATGGTTTATGATGCTATCGCTTGATCAGATCTATGGTCTGTTGTCGACTGGATTGGGAAACTTTATGTGTTCAGATTTCTAAATGTTTAATTACGATATTAGAACTGGCATGTAGTTTTTCGAAGTAATAAGGAGGAATACACGTCTAAACCTTCCTATATTTATATTCTCGTCTCGATACACCAAGCGACTGCTTTGGTGTACAGAACTTCATGGTGAAGACTCATAGTGAATTGAGTAAATGGAGGAAATGAGAAGGCTTACGATAGTGAATGATACCTA